AAAATATTTGTAATGGGTTCATAATATGTAACTATCAAAGAAATAGCTTTATTGATGGTCAATAAATAATTTCATGCTTTATGGATAATAGGGCCTACAGGGATTTGGGTTGCCAGGTTGTAAAGAATGCACTGGTGTTCATGCTCCACAAGCACAACACTTGCTTTTAGTTTTTAATTAATTGGGAAGGCAACTTCAGATTTAAAACCTGACCACTATCCTCTGGAAAACTGTAAAGTACCAAACCATTTATCAACAACTTCTTAACATTAACAAATGAAGACATGATGGGTTGTTTAAATGAAACTTAAAGCATATTTAGATAGATAAAGACCTCTAAGCCTTTTTTAATGGATTCCCAAAATGTAGCCTACAAGTTGCTTTTATCAGTGCTCATAAGTAATGTACAAAGTGTAAGTAAATAATTTAGTCATTAATTAAGCCATCTTGTATGTGTTGAATTATTAACCAAATCCTTCATATTTATGCCCACCCTGCACTGATACTTACAGCCTAACTGTGTAGTAATAGATGTGTGATAATCAAAATATTATTATTACAAATAATAACTATTGGATTTATTTGCTCATATTTAAACGGTGTTTGTATTGTAAGAATTTAATTTAAACGATTGTTCATATTCTTTATTCATTTTATTATCATTAATATATCCATCACGTCTGAGGAGTAGGCTGGACGGAAGTGACGTCGCACTAATTACCCACAACATATTGTAAGGGAACAGCTTTTGATAGCATGTTTGTGCAGTTTGACTTATTGAACGCCGCATTGTGGTGGAGTTACCCATGTGTAACCTATTGTTACTGCGGAGTGTCAAAAGCTGAACATTAACTCATCAACTGTTCCAAACAAAGCGTATAAGCGGATGACCCTAAACCCGCCAGATCGGCCAGGCTGTCACTAAAACAAACCCGAGGAAAATAAGCGGAAGCAAGACTTCCGAGCCAAACGTCCTAATTTCAAAACAAAACAATTCTAACGTGTAACTATATGGGGGTCTTTTATTCTGAAGAGAATTAACCGGATGCGGTATTACTGCTACCGCTAGCTTGACTAAAGCGACTCAGACTGCCCATGTGATATGTGTCTGGAGTGTAAGCTACAGTCTACAGCGGGTTGTCTCTCTGTTGCTACAGTAGAGGCAGTATCCAGCAGGAGTGGGACACTTTGCCGATAAACTCTTCGTCTTTCTCCTAACAACGCGGATTTAAAGCGTCTGTACCGATGTAGCGTGCGGCAGCTCCTGAACTCATGCGGTCCTCACTCAGTAATTCAACTGGTAAGTAACGTTAATAGGACATTGAACGGAAACACCGTCCCGAATAGCTAACGTAAAGACAAAACAACACACACATAAATGGCAAAACACTCTCCCGGGTAATGGTGGTGTTTATTTTTTTTTACAAAGGTTAATTGTTAACAAGCTCGTCAGGTTAACTTAGCCTCGTTAGCAAGGTCAGACAGAAACAACAGCCTGCTGCAAAGAGCTAACGCTGTTAGCCAGGCTGCCTGTCACATCGCAGTGCAGCTACACACTGTGATTTGTTTACCCCCACACAGCCATCACTTAAATACCCATACAGTGCTTATGGCAGACAGTGGTCGCCATTGCTGACACATGAGACAACCTCGCCACGCTCGTTTTTGTAGAAATGCGGTGATTTAACGTAAAGTAGGCGGTGTTCGCGGTCCTGTGTGCAGACTGTGGATGTGCCGCGCCGGGTGGCGTCTGAGCTCAAACAACTGCAGGACGTGATTTTCAGGTTGTCCTCTCCCTCCTTAGTAACGTTAATTTCCCTCCGACCACCCCAGGATGCTGACAGTCACTTGGGTGGGGCTGACGCGGATGACAGTACACGGGAACAGAGCCCAGGGATAAAACCAGACCGCAGAGGATCAGTTCAAGCACCGAGGGTGGGTGCTTGGTGAAGCCATGACCAAGCCCGAGTCGAAGAAAAGCAGCGTGGCCGCGATCAACGCCACCGGCAAGTGCGCCACTGCCGCATCCGCCGCCGAGCAGGTCAACAACGGATCCCTGGAGCCGGGCTGTCCGGATCAGAGCACAGATATCAAAGCCGGTGCGATGAAGCAGACCTCCAGGGAGAGCCTGCACCGGAGGAACACGGAGTGCGAGGTCTACGACGACGGCACCAATACCTTCTTCTGGTGAGCGGTTTGTGCCAATGTCAACTGTACAAATGTCAAATACTGGACACTGCAGCAGAGTTGATGGTGTTTTTTTTTTTTTTTAAATCAGTGACTACAAGAAATGAGTTTAAATCCTTAGTTCCTGCAGAAGAAGGGCCTGTTCTGTGACAATAGGGTGTGTTATTGGTTTCAAGGTGAACTGAAAGACAGGCCCAAGTGACCTCCATTGATCACAACAAACAGAGTGTGAATGATGTGTCAACCTTGTTCAGAATCTTTATACACAGTGATTTATAAAGTAAGGCTTAGGTCAAATGTGTTCGTTCAAATGCAAAATCGTGTTGAGGAATCACCAAGGCTTTACTCCACAAGGTGTCAGCCCCAAAGATGTTCTGCTAATGTTTGCCAGTCGGTCGTGGACGCTTACGTTGCACATCCAAGCTCAGAGCTCGCTAATATCCCACAGCCTGCACCTTCAGCAGAAAGAGATCTGTGACAGACTTGAAGTCAAGACAGATCTCCTGCACATGCGGTAAACTGGAAGAGTGAGTTCTTTTATATGCACACACTGGCACACATGTGTGGTGACGTGCAGGATGCAGGTGTTGTAGCAAGGGCATTAAGCAAGCCCAGAAAAGTGTCCTTCTCCTCTGCAGCTGTGTTTAATATATAGCTGACGCGGTCCTTCAACCTGTCGCTCCATGAATATTTAAGCCTCAGTGAGTGTGTGAGTGTTTCATCTCTGCTTTGTGTGTTAACCAAAGGGCAGCAGGAATCTGCTAAGCTATCCAATATCTTTGGCAGCAGAGGAGACTGGTCCTCCCAGAGAGAAACCTTAATGAGAATTTCTCATTACCGTGTTACAACCTTGACATCCAGGTTTCCTGTTACTCTAATACTGGAGGCATTAACAGGAACAAAGATGCTAAGATACCTTTGCCTGTTCAAGTTATTAAAGTAGACCAGCAGGCTGCAGTATGTAGAGGGGGGTTCTAATGTACAGTACGGTCACCCATTTTAATCAGTTCGGGTAGAATAAATATATAATATAATTCAATGGCACTACAAATTCTAGCCTCCAGGATTACCATAAAGTCGAATCAACACTTCAACAGTTCCGACGCATACTGATCATTATAACCCTCATGAATGTATGGTTTAATGCAGGGTTGTTGTATTAGACTGAATTGGTTTTACGTTGCTTTACCTAATAAACTAGCAACTGAGTGTGCAGCCAATAACAAACATAGTATTTAAACATTGCAGTGATGTTGACTGAAGCCAGCTCAGTTTAGTGACCAGCTCTGGTTTCTGCCTTTGATAAATGGGATTGCTGTTAAGGAATTTGGCTGTGCTGTGGTTTGTTTGCGCTCACAGTTTGTTATAATGCACAACCAACAATGAGAAATGGCTTTGTAGCTGTTGACCTTGTGGTCGACTCGAAAGCCCGTGGCTGTCGTGAATCATATAACATCCTGTATATTTATGGGCTGAATGATATCGCACGTATAAACACATTGAAAGCAAGACGAAGAATAGGAAAAAAACATGGGACTGAAAATGTGTACCATCTTAGTCCTTCCTGTCATAAGTAATTAGAAATGTACGCTTCATGCTCTAATGCCAGGACCTTAAAGTAAACCATGATGAACTGATGTTTAAGAGCTGTCTGGTGATATAACAGTAAAGTAAATAAGTGTCAAGTAAACCAGTAAAACCGATCAGAACTGAAATAGAGGACATGAAAGAAGCTGTTTGCTTGTGGTGGATTTCTGATCATGGAGCCGGTACAGAAGTATTGTGTTGTGGGAGGTTCCCAACTTCCCAAGTGACACCGGAGATATAGCAACAAACTGTCTCTGCTTAAGCAGGGTAACAATGTGGCATGTGGCCTTCTTCGCACAGATTGGAGGTGGGGAAGTGTTCTCTGAGAAAAGAGGAATAGCTTGGATAGACTTTATATAGAACTCAGCCTGATGAAGCAAAATTTGTGCTGGCACACCACTTCAGCCCACACATTTCAGTTCAAAAAGACTTCTGAGTATGCTCTGTGCATTTTTGACCACTGACTGATTTTTTTAAATGTATTTTAAGAGAAGAACTGTTAAGTTAGGACAGAAACACCTCTTGAAAGAAAATTGAGCTTGTAATAGGATTTTGTGTTATCTAAGTGTCACAAGGCGAGTGAACCTGTGATCTGTAGCAAATTGAGATAATGGAAACAAGAGTCTGCTGTGGTCACACACACGGAACTGACAACCGAGCACTAAACTGTACTAAATAAAGTCACATTTTTTAGCTCAGTGACGTCACAAGCTGTGTTTGTCAAATACTGTCAGATTTTGTTCTAAGCTCACCTTGACTCTGAGTTTTACCGGGCTGGTATTTCCGGTGCATCTTTTCACTCCCAGTAGTTGTGTGTGGTTGTCAAGCAAGGGAGAAGCCCGGCCCTCCCCTGTGTTCCCTGCCAAACAGGTTGGATAAGGAGGTGGAACAGGAAAAAAATGCTAATGACACCTGGCGTGCCATCTCTGTGACTCAGTCTGAGCCAAGGGCTGGCAGAGGGGGGGGTGTTCTTTAGTTTGACAGACGACAGCAGTGGCCTCAATACAAAACATTGTGTAATTGCATTATCAAGTATTCTTAATTAATAGGACTGCCATTGTTTTATCTCAATATTACTGATGAAGACACCATGGCCTGTCTAGTTACAGACTGATATAACTAAAGCTATTGATCTGGATTGCTGTCCTAAAACTATTGGCAGAGCCACATTGACAGGGAACGGGCCCTCTTTGGGCCCTCCGAGGACTCTTTAACTCTCCTCCCACGTATTCAAACAGCTCTGTTGATGGTCATGGTACTGGCAAAAAAAACTTATTCTGAAAGGCTGAAGGCTCACACTGCACCATGCTTCAGACTTTGGTTGAATTAACTTGTTTTGGTTATTTACATAGAGAAATTACGAGGTCAACAAGAATGGGAAGAATATTGGGAATAAAGGAAATAAACTGTTGCACTGGGTCACATTTTCCTTAATGGCAGTAAACCTGGGCAGTTTATTTACACTATATTGTCCATCTCTGGAGCGTAGCTGTGTCAGAGAGATGGCTTCATGTTTATGCATTGCTTTGCTAACTTGGTGAGCTGAGGGGAACCATCTACACTTACTGTGTTTAGGGCTCTGTAGTTTGTCAGAAAGAGAGCACTGACACATTTATTTTGCAACTGTTAAATATCTAGCTCATAATATGTATTGTACCCTTCTTCATATTTAATGGAGGGTTGTTCTATGTTAGAAAACGACTATAGGCCCACACAACCTTTGCTGTTTTTGCTAACTCTCAATTATCAGTACTGAATTGGCCTTTAAAATAACACTTGTAGCAAGCTAAGATTTGACCCATGCTCAGCTATGGTTAGCAGCCACTCTATAACTTTGTTGGTCGGTGTGTACGCAGTGTGTACTGTGTCACATTGAAGGACCACTTACTCAACTGGCATCCTGTAAGTACATACAAACCACGCTGTCTGATTTCCATTTGGTTCACCGTAATGGAAAAAAATAAATGTGTTGGGCTCTCTACCAGCCAAGAATAAGCACTGTGAACACACTGTCTGTCTAGCTGGTTTCACCACTGTGCTACCGCAATATCCCCAGAGTACCTTAAAAACAAATCAATTTTGAGAGTTGTTGGGTGAGGAGAAACTTTATAAACTTTGTGAAATGCCTCGTATAATGTTCTACATTAAGTTCTTCCTTTGTGTAAAACAAATACATTGTTGTATCTGTTTGTCCCTGAATGTTGGCTGGAGACACGTCATTTGTGATGTGAAAACATCAGACTTCCGCACAGAAAAAGTAAAAGTGTGTGTCCTGTTTGTATAGTTGAGTGATAAAATCCCACAGCCACCACTGAGCATCTCTCCTGTAGGGCTGCTGACAGTGCAGGTAAAACATGCAACTCTGGCTGATTTTATTGTGGCTCTGAGCTGAAAAAAAGGGAACGAATAGGCGAATCTTGTATTGAACGGCCGAAAGAACAGTAATAATGGATATTGACTGAGAAAAGTCCGAGTAGGGTACAGCCCTATAGTGTTAACTGGCATATAGAGCGGGGAAGTGAGATCCGATCACTAGTGGTCACTCGAGATGCGTGTGGAGACTCTAATGCCAGGTGTGAACTGACGTACTTAAGGCTGCCCACTTGTGATCGGATCACCCAAGACACATGTTGATGCCAGGTCTAAACAAGGCTAGTAAGTTCCCCAGTTCACTTGCACACATTGCTGTTTGGTGTCAGTGTTTGAACTGAACTCAAGGGAGTGTTTTTGACAGCTGGGGTACCCTGAGCAAACAAACACAGGACTGACGATACTCAAGCTTTTCAAAGTGCTTTAATTGTCCTGTGGATTGCCTTTGGGACATTCTGAATGATAATAAATCTTGGCCAATTCCAATGGCCCGAGGGCCAATCTGAGCATATTAAGTATACTATTAAACCCTGAACTGGCTCTGCTATTCCTCCCACCATACACTAACTCTCCCTTTCAATTTTCTTGCAATTATGTCCTTGTCAGCTTTCCAAATACCATTTAAGTGCCTCATCATTTTCCCTCTTTGTAATTGAGAATTCCTGGGGTTATCTATTGCATACTGTATGTCCTTGTGACTCATATCAGTAGGTGAATAAATAAAACTTTGCCCTTTTGAGATAAATCCCACAGATAGCATGGATGTATCTGAACTACTGTCAAACGACAAAGGCCAAAGTTTGTTCCATGCCGTCAGGTGATATTGGAGATATGAGCCTATGGCCAACAGGTCTACCAAAGTATAGAAATGTTAGTTTAGTTTGTTTAGTTTAACAGGTAGTCCATAGTCAGCCAGGTCAGGCTATTTTTGACTTCCATATAAGTGAAAGAAAATGTTGGAATGACTCATAAATACCTCATTGTGTCTTTTTTATTTTGTTTGTTGTGCACCCTTTTTGTAACTATTTTCAGCCGAAGTAACCCAGTTTCCCAACAAGAATTTGTTTCAAATCATCTTTTTTATCTCCATCTCCACTCCCATCATTATATTTATATCTGTCTATTATTGCCGACTTTTCTGTCAAGCACAAGGTGTCTAAAAACTTTAAGACACTTTGTTTAGTAATAACCAATGTACTCTGAGCTCAAATGACTGTGCGTCAATATTGCTAAACATTCTGCGTTGGTGGTGTCAGATAGCATCAGTGGATTTTTTTCCCTCTCCTCCTGTGGCTTTTATTGAATTTTTTTCCTCTATACAAATGTTATTAATGCCCCTCTCTCTGGCCCTTCTCTCCCTCTTTCTCTGCAGGCGAGCTCATACTGTGACAGTGCTGTTCATTCTGACCTGTGCTCTGGTCTACGTCACGCTGCTGGAAGAGACCCCGCAGGACACGGCCTACAACACTAAGAGGTCAGTAGGCTGCACTCGTCACTTCCTCAGTGTCCCCAAGCAAAAAAAAAAAACCCTGCAGGACTCAGCAGGCAGCCCAGAAATTCTGCATGATCCACTGTGGCGTTTTGATTGGATTGAAGTTTGAAATAGCATTCATATCATGCCAGCAATCTATCTTGAAAGAAAACTTTGAGTCATGCTGCGTTCACATTTTGATTTCTATCCCTAACCCCTTATAACCAAACATTGACCATCATTTCATGTTGTGTTCTGTGAGGCCGATGACATGTTTTGTTTGTCTTTTGTGGGTCATGTCACGTTGTCATTCAAAGCCCCATGAATAGGTCACATAACAAAACCAGCCAATAAGCACCACCGTTTGGATCTCACCTTTAACACGATTTGGCATGGACTCATACAGCCACAGCAACTTTTTCGTTTCAAACATTATCTCTTCCAACTTCTCCAGCATTCACCTTGAGCCCAGCTGGCCCTCTTTCAAGGCCACGTGTAGCTAGATGTAGCTTTTCACAGAAAAATGAAACCCTTATGATCATGAGAAGGAAGGTGATCATTTGATTAGATTAACATTTGGCAAGTGGATGTCTTACTCTTTCAACTCAAGAGAAAATATGAACCCTAGAACATTACATTTACTAAACCACAGGGACTGCGATTCATGCAAAATGAATGAGGTGTGATCCAGATCCACTTATATTGTGGAAAAGGCAGCACTCTAAAAGTCAGAAACAGCAGAAGCTTTCAATAGGCTGACAAATGTTCTGTCTGACTACTTGTGGGTCATGCAGTGGCTACTCTTGGTTGTGGCTAGTTTTGTTTGTGGCAAAATGGATATGAGGAGGAAAGCTCTTAATGGTGTTGCTTCAAATCCTTCAGAGCAGGGTTTTTTAAAATATAAAAATATAATGTGCAACACAGCTTCTTTTATTTTGAACGTACTGTTCTCTCTGTAGCCTCAAGTTGGTCTCAAATCTCAACACAAACATTTTTAGATATTAATTATAGAACTGACCTGGATTTGCTCACGTGGGCTGACTGGACATCATCATGTTGGAGTTCGTATTCACACTAGTCTGATGACAGTCAACTGAGCTGAGCTGAACTGAACTGAGTGTGTAGCATTTCGGAGGATCTATTGGCAGAGATGCAATGTAAAATTGGTAGGTATGTTTTCATTAGTGTATAATGAGCTGAATATAGTAATTGTTATCTTAGAATGAGCCTTTTCAATGTTTTTATGAGTCTTTAAATTGTGCTCAGTTAAAATGTCAAATCAATGGCGAAATTGGTCACCAGAAACATCCTTAATACTTCTGTTGTCCGCAAGTATGTCAGCGTCCATGTGATGTAAATTTCGTCATCAGACACTCTGAGCAGACATCCGCGTACCTCCAATTTGTTGTGACCGTGCGGCCACTACACTCTGGAACACGACCTCCAAGCAGACTCCAAAAAGTAGTATAAACAGAACTACTACGTGGCTGTGACACATGCAAGTATATGCAAGCCTCGGGTGTGTGACAGAGAGAGTGAGTTGTGGGATGCACTGTGTATGTTGGTGTTTGTGAGGGATTGTGGGATGGGTCTTAACAGGATATGCTGAAGTCAGCACAGTCGGGATAAGGACCCTAGAGCTTTTTCCTGGCACCGGAGTACGCGCACATAAACAGTCCGAATCTCGCTCATGTTACTCATCAACTCGTGTTGGATACACTCCTCTTCTCGAACTCATTTTGAAACATTGCCATTTGGGCTAATTGGTCACTCACATTAGTTCACACACACACACACACGTACCCTCGCTTTAACATGTAATTAAACTCTCTGAATCACATACTCTCACTTTCCCACCTGCACACACTTGCTCGTTCACTCAGTCGCAGGCGCTCACACTCCCACACTCGTTGGAAAGCACAAGCGGAAATCTCATTGTGTGTCCGCAAGTTGTGCATTTCTAAGTTCAGGACAGTATCCTTGGCTGGTCTCCTGGTTTTAACATCTCAACACAGTGGCAACATAACCAGCAGCAGGTTTAGATTGGCCTCATCTCTTAGAAAACACAGAGGGGATTGTAATAAGGCGTAATTATCTACGGTCAGCCGCTGAGACAGGCCTCCAGATTCATGTTATATTAGATTATGCAATTAATTACTTTCCCTTTCCTGCTCTTTGTACCCATGTTTAGAACAAGCCTGCATGCAA